AACATATCATAGCATATCATAGCATATCATAACGCAGCATAGCGCAGCATAGCATATCATAGGTGCAGATGTATGTGTAGATGTAGATGTAGTTGTGAGTCTCGCTGTTGATGTTGATGTAGATGTAGATGCAGGTGTAAATGTTACTGTATCTGTCGGTGTAGATGTAGATGTTGCTTTCCTAGATGCTCCAACTCCTAGGTAGGGTCGCACTGGGATAAATTTTTGGACCACTTCTGAGTCTGTTTTTGCTATGTTTAACTTTTCCTCGATATTCCCCCTGTAGGGGGACATGCCCGACTCAAAGCTAGCGAGAACCAAACCAGGCGCCCGGGTGCGCCTCTCCCACCAGCTGCGCCAGGCGCCTCCGAGGCTCAGGCCTGCCGTGCGCGCGGGATCCGCGCTCGCCAGATGCGCCGAGGGCTCCGCACTCGCCAGGTGTGCCGCGTGCTCCTCCCGCGCCGTGGGTGCCACTCGCGCAGCGCTCAGGGTGTGCCAGGTGCGGCCGTACACGTTGTTCATGTCTAATTCTTCGAGAATTCCTTGATTTTCTGGGGGGCTAAGATCCTTTCATTCCTAGTTGTTCTATCCTGGGCCTCTTCCTGGCCACTCGGGGGCCAGGAACTGTTAGCAACGAGCACAATTAGACATGAGCACGATTAGAAATGAATGACGGGTACACGCGGCAGCACGCACTGGCAAACAACGCCTTCATGTCCGGGTAAACGTAAGTCTCGAGCACGCCGAAGTTTGGGTTTTCCGACGCTTTTTGACGAGCGCTTCCTATTTTTGTTGGCGGTCCAGTTTTCCTGGGATGTTGGCAGCGGGAGCTCGCGAAAGAGTTCAGATTGGGTCTCGTCATTTTCTTTTCATAATTGCCCAGTCAGGCCAAGCCGAGTCCCCCGAACCCTCGACTTACGTCTCCCTGACATGTTCAAAAGCCAATGGGACAAGCGGCGGGGGGGACATCATGTTGTATGGTGCGTGTGCGCATACTCTGCACTTGTTTTACCCAGGGTTGGTGGGACCGCGCGCCCCACCATGCAACACGATAGCAAGGCGCCCGCGCATGGTGCAACATCCTGCCGCATCGTTGACTCCGCATCGGTTTTTGACAGGGATGGTGATGCGCCTGCGCACGCGGGGCAGCGTGACGGCCATCCAGGAGCAGTGGTGAGCCCTGCCCCGAAGGTGGAGAAGGGCGTCAGACGAGGAAAAGCGCCTCTCTCCACCTCCGCAGAGAGGGTCGGGCCGGAAGAAAGGGGGGGATAGGGCAAGGGGGGTTACGAAATTTGCTGCATGCAGCTGGTTTCGGCCCCACCGAGGGGCCCATTCCTCGATACATGGCCACCTCCGGCGCCGGGAAAGTCAGCTACGTGAGCTGATTCTCAACCCCCCCCTTTGCTACTCTCCCTTTCGCCCAGCCCGAGAGGGCCGGCGGGGTCCTGTCCCGAAGGCGCCCAGGGACAGCTCCGGCAGGCTCCTGCGGCAGACGTTGGTCCCACGCCCCTCCCGGGGGCGGCGGCACAATCGCGGCGCACGGCGCGCCTTCTTCAGGCCGTCTCGGCCCCCGCGGCCGGGCCCCGGGGACGTCCGACGTCGACCCCCGGGGGCGGGGCGGGGTCCGCGGGCAGGGCGGCATACGTTTACGTCGGGCCTGTCCCTCGACAGGGGGGATCTGTCAAGTTATTCTTTACATAAACAGTGTGGGGACGATTGTTTGAGCGTTTTTTTTTACCATTTGGGGGCATCTTATTATTATTATTATTATTAGTATTATATTATATTATATTATATTATATTATATTATATTATATATTATTATTACTACTATTATTATTACTATTATTATTATATATACACAAAACAGTGGGGGGAATCTTTCATCTTTTTTACCAGGATGGGGACGATTTTTTGAGTATTTGTTGGCCATTTGGGGGTAGTTTTGGATTTTTGTTTTTTCGCACAAAATCCCCCTGTAGGGTGACAGGCCCGAGTTGAGCATGCGCCGCAGGCCCGTGGCGTCCACCACGGGCGGAGGTCCTGGCCGGGCTTGCTCCTTGCAGGGGGGGGGTCAGAGGCGACGATAGGGGCGAATAGCCCAGGGGAGAGCAATACACATGTATTCAGGTGCGCCGATGATCTATGTCTTCGAAGAGACACTCAGAGGAGGCAAAGGTACCCATACCCACCTCTACCCTTCGCCCGTTTTCCCATTCGCCTTGGAATCCTGGTCAGAGCGCACCCCAGGAGAGGTCCGGGGAGTAGCGGTACCTATTGGTCTCCCAAGACACAAGTGCCCGTCGATTCCCAGGAACATCTAGGAAACCTTGGGAGGTGGGGGGACGCGCCTGACCTAATCCTGGCCGGGCTTGATCTTTTCAGATGGGGTGGGGGAAACCCTCAGACACAAGTACCCGTCGATTCCTAGGAACATGTAGGAAACCCAGGCGCATGGGGGATCCTGGGATTTGTTCGCATCTGCTTGCGTGTGTCCCTTGGCCCCTCCGCACATCTTCTTGGCCAAGGATCGGTGCAGGCGCCGTCCCCCCGGCCAGGCTCGGGGGGGGGGGCGGCGTGTGCACCGGTGCTGTTGGGCCACCGCTGGGCTCGGCCGGGATCGGCAGGTGTCGCTGCGGCTGTTCAGGCCTCCTCCTCCTCCCCCTCCTCCCCCTCCTCCTCCCCCTCCTCCTCCTCCTCCTCCCCCTCCTCCTCCTCCTCCTCCTCCTCCTCCTCCTCCCCTCCTCCTCCTCCTCCTCCTCCTCCCCCTCCTCCTCCTCCTCCTCCTCCTCCTCCTCCTCCTTCTCCTCTCCTCCTCCCCCTCCTCCTCCTCCCTCCTCTCCTCCTCCTCCTCCTCCTCCTCCTCCTCCTCCTCCTCCTCCCCCTCCTCCTCCTCCTGGCGCTGGCGGCCACGCGGCGGTCTTGTCCGCCGTAGCCGAGCGCGCGCGCCCGCCCGCGTTCCCGCGGGGCGAGCGCGCGCCACCAGACCTAACCTCAGGAGAAAGCCTCTGGGCCCAACAAGCCACACCAGGAGAGGAGAGAAGCGAAACGAGGGAGGGGGAGGAGGGAGGAGGAGGAGGAGGGAGGAGGAGGAGGAGGAGTAGGAGGAGAAGGGAGGCGGAGGAGGAAGGAAACGAAACGAGGGAGGAGGAGGGGGAGAAACGAAACGAGGGAGGAGGAGGAGGAGGGAGGAGGGGGAGAAGCGAAACGAGGGAGGGGGAGGAGGGAGGCGGGACCCGAGGGACCCCAAGACAAACAACCCGAGGTCTAGGTCACTTAGCCCCCCGACCACCACCTCCATACTGGAAGACGACCTCCTCCTCGCGATTGCGACGCGGAGGTGATGGAGGGGAGGCCAGATTATTGTGCACGTGTGGGCCCCCCACCCCAGACAGGAGAGAGCCAAGGCGGCAACCGTAATGAAAAAGAGAAGAGGAAACGGGGGGGGGCCACATCCTACTACGAGGCGACCGAGCCCCCAGGGAAACCCAGGGAGGGACAAAGGGCGGGGCCACCTGGACCAAGGAGGTGGGGGGCTAGGGACCCTGGGGTGGCTCGGCCCCCTGCGAGCGGCCCCCGCGGGGCCAGTTGTCAGTCGTTGCGGTCGACCTCGCCCCCCTCGCGGCCGCCTGCACCCCTTAGATTATCCTGAGGGGCTGACACGCTCACCGCCGAGGGGGAGTTCACGACCCTGGTGTCACTGTCGAGCGTGTTCGTGGTGTTGTCGTAGGACCCGACCCTGTCCCCCGCCCTTCGGCGCAATCGGCGCTGCGGGGGTACGGGGGGGCTGTCACCGCCCGTCGGCGCTGTGCGCTGTGGTGACGAGCCGTCGTGGTCCTTCTCCTCGTCTGCGTTGCTCTCCCCCGCTTTCACGTTGTGGTTGCCGTCGAGGAGGCCCTGGTCGTGGTGGTGGTCGTGGTCGGTGTCGCGGTGGTTCTGGAGGTAGCCCTTGTTTCCACGCTGCTGGGTCCTGTGCTGTCTGGCTCCAGTGGCAGTGCTCGGCGACGCCCCCTCGACTCCTCCTCCTCCTCCTCCTCCCCCTCCTCCTCCTCCTCCTCCTCCTCCTCCTCCTCCTCCTCCTCCTCCTCCTCCTCCTCCTCCTCCTCCTCCTCCTCCTCCCCCTCCTCCTCCACCTCCTCCTCCTCCTCCTCCTCCTCCTCCTCCTCCTCCTCCTCCTCCTCCTCCTCCTCTCCTCTCCTCTCCTCCTCCTCCTCCTCCTCCTCCTCCTCCTCGTCCTCCTTCCTCCTCCTCCGGCGTCTCCTCTCTCCTCGTTCCCCCTCCCCCTCCCCTTCACCCCCCCGCCCAGCCCACGCTGAGGGGGATGGGGATCGGATAAGCGATGCTCAAGACGAGGTCCGAGTGCAGTGGAGGCCTGCGCCACGAATCTAGGCCTCCCAGATGTCGGTATCGTCTAACCGATCCCCATCCCCATCCCCATCTCACATCTCGAGCCCCACCGTCTCACCACCTCAGTCGGGGATATGCCCCTCGAGACCCAAATAGGCCAGCTTATATAACCCCATCCAGGGGGGTAAATTGGCCAGTGGGGAGCAGCCCACGCTGGTGGGGATGGGGATCGGTTAAACGGTGCTCAAGATGGGGTCCGAGTGCAGTGGAGGCCCATGCCAAGAAACACCCTGCTTGCCTCCAGGGTGCCCTGGGATTCTTGGGTTTCGATGGTTTTGCCATGGAAAGCGTGACGTGCCCACAACAATAATCAATGGACGTCCTGGGGTCTCAGGGTTGAGTTTCTTGTGGAAGGTCTCTTGTTTGTAGATGGTGTCGGAGGATCGCATCCGCATCGCCGATGCATCGGCCATCCGGCTCGATCTGGAGCCTGACTGTCTCCACGCCGACGTCGCCGACGCATCGCCGACGTCGCTGATGCATCGTCGATGCATCGTTGATGCATCGGTGATGCATCGGCGATGCGGCACGATCCTCCGACCTTATCTACTCATACCCCATCTAGGAGGCCTCTAGGTTTCGTCCCGTCCAAGGATACCCGAGCACATCAGCTCCACAGAAGAGCGCCGCTCGCTTCGATCTCCAAGGGGACGGTATGCCCAACGCTGCACAATCTGGGGGCGAGATCGAGTCCTGGTTTGCGTTTGTTGGGGCGAAGATCTTGGTTGTGAGCGACAACGGGCATACGCTGCCTTGTACAGTCATCGAGGTGGATCAGACCAGAGTGAAAGTGCACGACGATTCAGGTGAATTGAAAGATCAATGGTTGCCGAAGCTATCACCGCATATTCATCCCGATATCCACCACGACCATGTTGATTACGACGTTGATGAACCGTTCGACTTCGTTGGTGCAAAAGTCTTAGTGATGAGTGGGAAAGGGCATCCGTTGCCTTGTACAGTTGTCGAGGTTGATGCGGAGAGAGTGAAAGTGCGCGACAACGCGCACGAGTTTGACGACGAATGGTTGCCAAAGAATTCCACTCACATCAATCCTAAAGGGGGCGGTATTTTACATGATGGGGACGACATCGACGAGTGGCTGGCCTTTGTCGGTGCTAAAATCTTGGTCATGGGCCACAACGGGCATACGCTGCCCTGCACTGTCATCGAGGTCGAGGAGGATAGAGTGAAGGTGCACGATGAATCTGGCGAGTTGAAAGATAAATGGTTGCCGAAGCACTCACCGCACATCCATCCTGATACACATGATGTCCCAGGAGATAGTGAGTATGTCGTTGACGATCCATTTTGCTTCGTCGGTGCGAAAGTTTTAGTCATGAGCGGGAAAGGACACCCTCTACCTTGCACTGTCGTCGAGGTCGATGAGGACAGAGTGAAAGTACGCGATAATGCGCACGAGTTCGAAGACGAATGGCTGCCGAAGAATTCCACCCACATCAATCCCAAAGATGGCGGCGTCTTACAAAATGGGGACGACATCGACGAGTGGTTGGCCTTTGTCGGTGCTAAGATCTTGGTCATGGGCGATAACGGGCACACGCTGCCATGCACTGTCATCGAGGTCGAGGAGGATAGAGTGAAAGTGCACGATGAATCTGGTGAGTTGAACGACAAATGGTTGCCGAAGCATTCACCGCACATCCATCCTGAAGTTGCCAATGTTCCACAACTGGACGGTGCAGTGGGGGGCGGAACTGGAGCTACATAGTTGCTCGGTAGTACAGACTTCCCGGCTTTCCCGGCGCTTGCGCCGCTGGAAAAAGATAGTTATACAGTGCATAACGTCGTCACCCAGCAGTATTTTCGTTTTTGTTGTCATTCCATGGCTAGAACCTGTATGAGTAACATAATCGAGAATCGAGGCGGCTGGAACATTTTCTTTCGTGCAAATTCTGGGCTGGAGCCTCACCTGGTTTAGGTTTTGACATCAGTATGTCAGGGGGAGGGGGGCCTGGCGGGCCAGAAGCGTGGGTCCCAGCAATGTATCCATGCCTCGCTCCCAATCTGGGTCAGTCCGCGCGCTCGTCTGTCGGTCAGTCGGTCCATCTGTCGTGGTCGTCGGCCGTCGTCGTCGTCTCAGTCCGTCGGTCGGTCGGTCTGTCGGTCGTCATCGGTTGTTGTCTCGGCCGGTCGGTCGCTCGGTCGATCGGTCGTCGTCGGTCGTTGTCGTTTCGTTCGGTTTGTCGGTCCGTCGGTCGTCATCGGTTGTCGTCTCGATCGGTCGGTCGGTCGGTCGTCATCGGTCGTCGTCGGTCGTTGTCGTTTCGTTTGGTCGGTCGTTCGGTCCGGTCGTCGGTCGTCGGTCGGTCGTCGTCGTCGGTCGTCGTCGTTCCAGTCGCCGGTCGTCGGTCCACAGCCGGAATCCGCCCACGCCATGGCGCGCTCTGAAAGCGCGCCGCTGGAGCCAACCCGGCTATGGATGCAATGCGGACACGTTGGATCCAGAATTTGCCCGATGTGGTATGCTCGTTGAAATTTCACTACCAACAATAGTCCAATGGCTTTGGGGAGGACGCTCGAAGGGCACATGGAGCCATCCTGGGGCGGCATGAAGGGCTCCCAGGAGCATGTTGGAAGCTACCTTTAACCGTGTTGTGATATCTTGAGCGATCCTGGAGGTCATCTTGGAGTCTCCAGCGCCTCGCGAAACGCCCCCTCCAGGCCCAAGGGGAAGGGGTAATGGCAGGGGGGGCCCTTCCCGAATATGACAACCAGGGTTAGCAGAACGAGCTCACCGGACCACTCACGCCCAGAGGGCTGGTGGGATTCTTTCGGGGCCCGCTCGGCGCTCAACCAATCTGCATAAGGTTTGAGGCTGTACAGTGGAGGCCCATGCTTTGAAACACCCCGCTTGCTTCCAGGGTGCCCTGGCTTTCTTGGGTTTCGATGGTTTTGCGATGGAGAGCGTGGCGTTCCCACACCAAAAATCAATGGACTTCCTGGGGTCTCAGGGTTGGGTCTCTTGTGGAAGGTTTCTTGTGGACTGGCCTCCAATGTACTGTTCTGAGCCCGTTGTGCCGCCGAGTCGGCGCAGATCGCACCAGCATCGAGTTGCCGTACCGGCTCGTTCTCGAAGTTCTTGATGGCCGAATGGTGCGGTAGCAGATCATGGGAGCCTGGCGTACCCGGTTAATTCCGTCTTTCGCGTCGATTATGGGAGTCGATACGATAGCGCCGATTTAGCGTCGGCTAGCGTCGACTTAGCGTAGATTAGCGTCGACTAGCGTCGATTAGCGTCGATTTGCAAGAGCCGACAAGATGGTTCGGGAGGCTCCCATGAAATACCATCGAAGAATGAGTGAGAGTACCCCCTTGGAGGCTTCCGCAGGCCCGCAGGGCTCGAGCACGCCGCAGAATATGTATATATATATATATATATATATATATATCGGAGGTGAGGGGGTGAGATCGAAGTGGAACGGAGAGGCCCCCTACCCGGAAATCGGTTTCGGTTTCGTGTCCGTGCGTGCCGTGCGTGCGGGCGAGGCGAAGCTGCGTGGGCGGGCGAGAAATAAGTCTCCTGTAGCTGAGGCGCGGCCGGACCAAAGTCTCCCTTCCGGCAACCGGTGCCCCGCGGTGTCCCGCCGGTGTCCCGCTCGGGGGCCGGTGGCGCGCTGTGTCCCGCCGGAGTCCCGCTGGTGTCCCGTCGGTATCCCGATGATGATGATGATGATGATGATGATGATGATGATGATGATGATGATGATGATGATGATGATGATGATGATGATGATGATGATGATGATGATGATATTGATGATGATGATGATGACGATGACGATGATGATGGTGATGGTGATGGTGATGGTGATGATGGTGGTGATGATGATGATGGTGTCCCGATGATGATGATAATGATGATGATGATGATGATGATGATGGTGGTGATGATGATGTTGACGATGTTGATGATGATGATGATGATGGTGATGGTGGTGATGATGATGGTGCCCCGATGATGATGATGATGTTGATGATGATGATGTTGCTGATGGTGATGATGATGGTGCCCCGATGATGATGAAGATGATGCTGATGGTGTTGATTACCCTGATGATGTTGATGATGATCACATGATTTGATGATGATGATGATGATCATGATGATGGTGTTGATGATGAGGCTGTTGATGATGATGGTGATGGTGATGATGGTGTCCCGATGATGATAATGATGCTGATGATGATGACGATGATGTTGTCCCGATAATGATGTTGATGATGAGGATGATGATGAGGTGATGATGATGATGTTTGTGATGGTGGCCCAATGATGGTGATGACGATGCTGATGTTGATGATGATGATGGTGTCCCGGTGGTGTTGATGATGATGATGGTGATGATGATGATGATGGTGACGATGATGGTGGTGTTCCGATGATGGTGTTGATGATGATGTTGTTAATGCTGATGTTGATGATGGTGTCCCGATAATGATGATGATGATGATGATCATGATTATGATGATGTTGTTGTTCATGATCATGATGATGATGAGATGATGATGATGTTGTTGTTGATGATGATGGTGGTGTTCCGATGATGGTGATGGTGTCCCGATGATGATGATGCTGATGATGATGGTAATGATGGTGACGATGATGGTGTCCCGATGATGATGATGATTATGATGATGATGATGATGATGATGATGATGATGATGATGATGATGTGAATGATGATGATGATGATGATGATGATGATGATGATGATGATGATGATGATGATGATGATGATGATGATGATGATGATTAGTATTAATATTATTATGATCATGATGTTGATGATGATGGTGATGAGGTGATGATGATGGTGCCCCGATGATGATGCTGATGACGTTGATGACGATGATGCTGATGATGCTGATGATGACGTTGATTGTGATATCGATTGTGATATCGATAGTGATATCGATTGTTAGACCGGATGTGAGATCGATTGTGAGATCGATAGTGATATCGATAGTGAGATGGATTGTGAGATCGATCGTCAGATCGATTGTGAGATCGATCGAATGAAATAGATCGAGTGAGATCGATTGTGAGATCGATCGAGTGAGATCGATCGAGAGAGACCGATAGGGAGATCGATAGTGAGATCGATACTGAGACCGATCGAGTGAGACGTTGGTTCCTCCCCCCCCCGAACCTCCTTATCACCCGAAGGGCGGTCGTATAGGTATAGATATATATATATATATGTGTGTAATATATATATATATATATATATATATATATATATATCGGTCTCTGAGCCCCGATAACCGTCCCCGAGTGGTCCTCCCACGCCTCCCCAGACCCCTGGCATGCCGATTTTTGTGGAATCCGTGGGCCAGCCCCTTTCCCTCTAGGCCTCCCAGATGGGTCCGGAGCAGACGGGATCGGAGCATCGCGCCGCATCGCCGATGCATCGCCGATGCGGCTCGATGTGGAGCCCGATTCGCTTCACGCCGACGTCGCCGATGCATTGCCCACGCCACCAGCGCGTCGCCGGTGCATCGCCGATGCATCGGCGATGCGCCGCCGATGTATCGGCGATGCGGCGAGATCCTCCGACCCCATCTGCTCG